CTAGAGATTAACACACATAATTTAACATTTTGGATTTGGACTCTTTCTGTTCCATTTCTAAACTTTCATTACCGGTGTAGGAACCAGAAAAAATGGAAGCCAAGTTTAGCAAAATGAGTACTCAAACAATTGTGAAAAGATTTTTGACAATCCGAGATCCAACACGAAATAACATTCCTAAAGATAAAGGTCATGATCTCTCCCGTAACGCCCCAGTTACCTTGCCCCCTTGGTTATCGGAAGAAGATGCCGAATACTTTGCTAGCCAACTCGACAAGACTGGCTTTTCTGGTGGACTCAACTATTATCGTGCTCTTCATTTGTAAGTTGATGCATCTTATGTTTTATAATCAAGAATCATAAGTTTGGTTTTCCGATGAATTAGTAAATTAATGTGGTTAGGAACTGGGAACTAAATTCAGCATGGCGGGGAGCTAAAGTTCAGGTGCCAACGAAATTCTTGATTGGGGATCTGGACCTGAACTATCATATGACAGGGATGAAGGAGTACATACACGATTGTGGTTTTCTGAAAGATGTTCCATTGTTGGAGGAAGTGGTGGTGATGGAAGATGCAGCCCACTTCATCAACCAAGAGAAGCCTGATGAGATTAACAACCACATCTTTTCAGTTTCTGCAGAAATTCTAATTTTGCATTCTTGTCTGTTGTGTGTGGATATGTATTTGACGGAACTTTCACGTCGATCCAAATAAAGTCAAACACAATCAAATTTGATTTGTTTTATTTTTTAAATCCATGGTTTTATTTTATACAGGAAAACAGTTTGAAAAACTCAAATTGTGAATAAATAAATCTTTGCATATTTTAAAACATGTTAATTATATTTTATAGTGAGGAGCAACCTTTCTCCCGAAATTACGGGGCTGTTTTGCCGGGTTATACTCCTACCTATTATCCGATTATATCAAGAAAGATGTAAGATGAATACGATATTGGGATTTTTTTTTCCCGAAACACGATTGGTTTCTAAGAGCCATAATTTGTATAGTTAGTAAATTTAGATATTAAAAAAATAACATAAAACCTAACTTGAATACAAAAATAAAAATATAGAATGAAAAAACTTCAAGATCTTAAAAGCAAAAATATATTATTTATTTTTGTGATTATAACATTGATTATATTATTAAAATATTTTTTTCCTTTAATAAAATACTACTTTTCTCTCTAAACATTTATTTTCAAAGTTTTTTTGTTGGTAGATATGTATTAAATAATAATTCATTCTCATTGTAATTACTTTTGGATGTTATCAAAATTTGAAGATTTTTTACACTTTCTCTATTTTTAGAAAATGTTTTCGAGGATCTTTTAAAACAAAAAACATGTTCAAAATTTCAAATCTTCATTTTCTTTATTTTAAAGTGAAGGGGCCCAGAAAGGCTTTTGTTTTAAAATGCATTTAACGTTTATTATTTATATATTTAATGATTTGTTTGATTTTTTAATTGTTAAGAATTCAATTTTTCTTCCGTCATCTATATAAATCCTTCGTATATATATTCAGTAAATGTGAACATATATATTAAATTTGAGAAAAAGCAATTAAATGTGATATACTTGAGGAGTAAGGATACGTTGTACCAAATGACGATGATGATGAAAAAAAAATATAAGCAGAGAAAGCAACATATTCAATGTAACAATCATAGGAGAATATTTTAATATACCAAAGTATTAACCTGACTAACCTGTACGATTTAAGTTGGGTTGGATAGGACTTTGGTTTGGATTGAGTTAAGTTGAGATTTTTCAAACACAAACTGTTGAGACTTTAAGGGATGTTGTGGAATATCTCATTTGCCCAGAGTTCTGTTCCAGGCATACACAACAATTGTATAGCCATTGAGTTTATCACGATTGATTTTTTACAGTCACAATTTGTCAAGATTAGTCCAGACATAGCCTAGGACACCCTTCAAAAATAGACATTATTAGATTGGATTGTTCAAATGCCTTCGATCCAATTAATCCAACTCATGAAGATCAAGAAGACATACTTTTTAGCAGCTTCCTTTAATCTCTTTTTCCACAACAGGAATCCGGCTCTTGGCTCTTGGACAAATCTGGGCGTCGTCTCTGTTTCAAATCCAAAAGATCTGCCTCTTCTTAAATCCTCATTTCACCTCCACTTCGAGTTACAGATCTAGATTGAGGGAGATCTTTGCCACTGGTGGGAAGTCGTCGGAGTTGGGTATAGACGAAAGTTGGATCAACCTTTCTTACATATATACGTCTTCTTTTGTTGGAGATAAGAGGTTGCCATTTGTGGAAAATGAAGACAGGCACTATGTATCGTATGCAATTGTTGCCTTCTCAAGTGTGGTGCAAGTCTCGAGTCAACAACGGGTGTTGGTGAGTGGATTGTAAAATGTAAAATTGTGTATGTTATTCAATGAAATGAGATACTGGTATTAAAATATTTACCTTCATATTAGAAGAAAAATCATATATATTAATGTTATATAAGTAGTATGTGATTTAAATATTTAATATATTACTTAAAATGGTAATTTTACAACTTCATTAACTGAAAGTGATATGATCTGGTAAATTTATAAAAGTGTAAAATCTAAAGTTAAAAATGTAAAACATAAAAGTTCAAAAAGAATAATTTCTTCATAAAAAGTCGCGCCTTTTGAAACCCAATCATCATTGTTGATCATGAACGGTGGACAAGAGATCCTTACAGCTGGTCGAACAAACCAATCATTTTTCCATCAAAACATATCTAAAACACTTCAATTTGACTCATCATATTATAGCTGTGTGAATAAGTCTGTTCATCTCTTAAGGCCCATTAAGCCACATGTTAACAGTTAGGGATGTGGAGTAAAGTGATCCAATGTGTCATGGGAAATGGAACAGGCCCTCCAACATTTGGGGGCTTAATCATACATGCTTTAGGCCCTCAAATTTTTTGGGTCCATTTATACGTGTTTTAACTTTTACTCGGTTATAATATTTAAGTTTTGACTTTTCACTTTTTTTTTTGATTTGGAGATTTGTGATTCTTGGTTTCAAAGACTTCTAAGAGAATGATTATATTTATTTCACATTTTTATTGTTTTAATTTGCAAGTAGAACTTTTAATATAATATATGGTTCATAGTTTGTTTCATTATTACTCATCCCCTCGATTTATAGTATTGATATAAGCATAACAGAACCTCTAAAAAATTTGGAACAACCCTGTAAACGGTACCATGGTTTGTATGGATATTTATGTGATACGAATATATCAGCACCCTGAAATAAAGGATTGGTGCTTACATACATATATCAGCACCGGAGGCGTCATTCATGGGTGGGATTGAAATTACAGGTGATTAATGATCCAGATCCCTTCTTACGCTTCTCATATTTACTCTCCTTCTCACACAATCTTTCGCCATTGACATATACACAATATGCATCCATGCAATAGTACCTAGAATTACTCACTGAAAAAATATATAAAAGATCATTAGGCGATGGTGGTTCCTTGTAAAATTAATTATCACCCATACCTGGAGCCAATTTAGCTCGTAATTAAGGATCATTCAAATCAGATATTTTTCTTAGCTCGTAATTAAGGATCATCACCAGGATGAAACAAGAATCAATATATATGTTATGTGTAGACCCATATATACAATACATGAATGGTTTTTTATGTAAGATTATTGCGTATGGGAGATATGGCTACTTGTGAGGGAGGGGGACCGGGAAGTTGGAGGTTTGGTGACAGTGACCGGAGGCATTAAATGCCGCCGGCCTGGTTTAATTTTGAGTGTCATTTATGTCTTTGTTTGGGCTGTATATATATGCTTTCAAGCAGTGGCGGACGCATAAATTTTTTTTGAAGGGGGCACGATATAAAATAAAATAATAATTAACTTCAATTTCATACAAAAATGATAAAAAGTTACCTTTTACAACTGTGCCCTACGACTCTTCATCATTTGAAACTGCGTAACTACATCATCATTTGAAACTGCGAGAAGTGCTTCTTTTTCTATAGTACATATCATTGCAGCATTCAAAAATTAATCACCGATTTTGTGGCGCAAATCTGACTTCACAATCTTCATAGCAGAAAAACTTCTTTCGACAAAAATAACAAAATTACCTACAAAATTAACCTAAAACATTTACCAATTACCACAAAATTAACCTAAAGCATTTACCAATTACCACAAAGTTAACCAACAAAATTAACCTAAAACATTTACCAATTACCACAAAATTAACCAACAAAATTAACATAAAATACCTAACCTAAAGCATTTAGCCATTTACCATTTACCAATCAACACAAAATTAACCTAAAAAGTAAAAACTAAAATACTACTAATTGATTAGAAGTAGTCAAACTGTCAAAAGCCTCAAACCAAGTAGAAGACTAGAAGTAGTCAAACTGTCAAAGCTTCAAAGGAACAAAACAAACTTACAGAAAAGAGGCGAGAGCTCGAGAGCGGAGAGCACACACAGGAGAAGAACAGGAGAAGAAGAACAGGCTCGCAGGTCGCAGCCTCTCCTCGCAGTCGGTAGTCGGCGTCGCCACTCGCGGCTCGCCAGTCGCAGGCTCGCAGCCTCTCTTCGCCGTCCGCCACTCGGCCACTGGATCTGGATGAAGAACAGGAGAAGAAGAACTGAAGAAGAAGAAGTGGTATGCTGCCGCATGCCACTCGTATGCGGTAATCGTCTAATCGATTCGGTATGCTGCCGTATGCGTATGTCTTCACACGAAACCCACTTCACCGCTGCTTCACGTCTTCACTCTTCACAGGCTCGTTTCCTACAATTCAAAGGGCCTCTTACCTCATATTGTTGGGGCCCAATTACATCTAAAAAAAAATACAAGTAAAAAAAAAATTTGGGTCTTCCTATTTATTTTTTGTTTTGGGCCGAGGACCCCAACCAGCTTAAGCTGTATCCGCCCCTGCTTTCAAGTACCTTAAATCACACACATGGCGTTATACTTCAAACACAGAAAATAAAACAAGATGGACGGTATACAGCACAAGACGGTGCAGACGAATGGGCTCAACCTCCATATAGCAGAAAAGGGTGAAGGCCCATTGGTCTTGTTTCTCCATGGCTTCCCTGAGCTCTGGTACTCCTGGCGTCACCAGATTATATATCTGGCAGATCATGGTTATCGAGCCGTGGCACCAGACCTCCGTGGCTATGGAGACACAACAGGTGCACCAGTCAACGACCCCACCAAGTTCACCATTCACCATCTGGTGGGTGACTTGATTGGACTTCTTGATGCCATCACAAACGAAGATGAAAAGGTGTTTATTGTGGGTCATGACTGAGGTGCCATCATTGCTTGGCACCTGTGTATGTTTAGGCCCGATAGAGTCAAAGCTCTGGTAAACTTAAGCGTTCCGTTTGTGCCGTGGAACCCAAATGGAGACATGGTCGAGTTGTTGAGAGCTGCATATGGTGAGGATCACTACATGACTAGATTTTGTTGATATAAGAACACAGAAAAGGATCGATAGAAGAACAAAGTATTTGGTAACCAGGGAACTCACTTATATTCAAGACTGCTTTTCTGAGTACA